TATCCGCCCCCGCGCCTCTATTCATCCACGGTCTTTTTGCTCCCGCGGGGATTATACGACGATGAGCGCTTATTTGCCCCGCCGACGAGATGAATTATGGATGGGGCGCGTGTTTGCGCAAAAAATCAAGGCCCGCAATCGCGTTCGCGGAATACACGCGCAACATCCAGACGAACAGTCTCTTTCTCGATGGTTTTTTTTTTTTTGTTTTCCTTTCTCATATTTTAATGGAATCGTTACTTTGGCAGTAAATCTTTCTCACGATGTATTTTACACGCTTCTTTTCCTGTCGGTGAATCATTTGCTTCGGTGATTAAACAAAGGTGCTTCGATCGTACCTCAATCGTCGCAAAATACACGCATACAATTACAAAGACTTTTGCAAGTTTATCCAACACCAGTCGATCAAACCATAATAAAATCAATTGAAACCTGACAGTAATTGGGGGGGGGGGGACCAAATAATTGTCTAGTAAATGCGCGAACAGCATCACGACCCGGACGCACATCCATCTCGATGCACGAGCCCAGCGTCCCCTTCCTCTCGACACGGAGCCTGTGTACATATACGTGTTAGTGCTCTCGTAGATCTTAGCGTCTAGAGAGCGAGGGGTAAAAGGGTAGATGGAAACAAGGCCCGGGGTATTAGTGGGTATTAGGCATCGGCCCCGGGAACGAGTGCACCTCGTCTTCTGACATCAGCTTTTTCCTCCACCCCCCTTTTGCCGCGCAGTTGTCACCCTCGACCACCACCACCACCTTCTCCTCCGGGTTTCAGATAATTCTTTAAGTGCTTCCTTCCTCGAGCCCTTCCCTCCACCTCCCCCATCCCTGTACATAATGTATACACGCACGTGTACAACCTCCACTATACTTTTTCCTCCCCGTGCATCATTTCCTCCGTACACGTGCAGGCACCGATCTGTTTCTCGGTTTTGCTTGTGTATTTTTTCGTTTGTCGCTCTTTACAAGGGTCTTGTCATTTTTTTTCTTTTTTTTTTCTTTTTCTCCTGATTAACACCTCTTATCCGCGCTTTAGCCGGGCATTGGCAGTCTGGACGGCGATATCTTAATTAGGATGAGCCTCCCATTTGCGCTTGATGTAAAGTCCATTTGGCTGGATTATACTCTCGATTAGCTCCTCTTTCGTGAAATGCAAATGACATTTGCCCTATTTCGAGGTTGTTTGTGTTGTCATTGTTTGTTGTGAAAAAAAAAGTGTGTTTGATAGAAGTTTGTCGAGAAATCAATTTAGGAAATGAAATTGCCTTTGATGTTTGAACCAGTGGGTCTTTGAGGGCGAAAGGCGTAGAAGTATAGAGAAATCAAAGCTTGTAAAACTCGCGGTAAGGCGTCAAGCTCGAAAAAATCATCGATCGGGGGTCAAACGTTGACGGAACAAATCGAAATAATCCCCACGACGGATTTCCATTTCACTGGGGGGGGGGGGGGGGGGGGCGAGGAAGAACTAATAGACTCATCCGCACTGGTTGAACTTCCTCGCGACTCCTCCAGCTAAGCACCCACAGCCACACTCGGAAAAAAGGGGGGCGCCTCAAAAGTTAAAAACACGCGAGCGTACCACGCGCGAAAAAGACGGGGAGGAAAAAAAAGGTACAGCCCCGGATCGTCGAGCGGCTTTTTTCCCCGAGTTTGGCGACGTTACCGCGGTGACGAAACTTTCTCACCCCCGGGGCGTGACGCGCGCACACAAAGCTCGACGATCCCAATTTTTCCGGCGCCTTTACACGCGTACGTGCATACATGTATATACGTGTGCGCGGAGACAAGGAAAACAACGCCGGCTCAAAACGCCAGGAGATAAAGGACGACAGAGCGAGCATGGAGTGCGAACGAGGATGAAAAAAAAGCGCCGGTGCTGTATACAGTATATATGTATATACGGTAAGGGGGTGCGAAAAGTGCCTAAAAGCGAGCTCTCTCTCCTTGGGAGACGAGAAAAGCTTGATCGCTCCTTTTTTTTCTCCCTTCCGATGCCTATGGGCGCGGGAGATTTGTTTCCGAGGCGACGAGTGTCTCTCGACGCTTTATTTGGCACCTAGGGGGGAAACCGTCTGCGTCACTCCAAAAAATAGCCCAGTCCAAAAAGGTTGATGCTCGAGAAAACGCCAACTTTCGAGATTGCACTCAATACGGCTGTATAAGAGTCGATCCGATTTCGATCGGTTATTGGTATATTACATGTTGCACGTCCGGTGAAAGTTTTGCCTCGGATGAGTGTGTATATATATGTAAATGCAAGCGATCTTAAAATAACAATAAACTCTGATTTTTCATAGAGATATATAAAAAATACTAACACGCGTTGATCTTTAAGTACTTTCAAGCTCTGAACGAAAATTTAAGTATTGGGAAGTTGAAAATAATGAAGGTAACAATGAAGTTACATGAAATTGAGATTTTTTTTTAAAACACACAATTATCAAAGCTTCTGTAATTTCTCTAAAAAGTTCACAAATGACTAGGATGACATATTTCATATCTAAGATGAGCACAAAAATGTAAAAAAAATTCTTCATTGTTTTAATGAACCAATCCTACCATTTGAACGAAAAGCTCATTATTTTTGGTAAATTAATCAACAACAATGACGCAGTAACGTGCAAAGACAGATTATTACCTTGATTTAAAAATATTACAATGCACGGCAGGGCTGAACATCGCAAAATTAAAAAGTTTTATTCCGGAAACTGTGATAAGCGAGCTCATAATGCCCAACCCCCTCGTAATGAATAAAAAGCCAAGCTTAGTAATATGGACCGGGTAACTTGATTGTATATATATGCGAAGTGCACAGCCCGCACTCGTCCGCGTAATTACAATCGCGCATCCCCCGTGTAATATAATGGCATTGTCGGGCACACATCCATGAATAAACATGGGAGCGTATGATGCACGTACACATAGGCGCGCGCGATCCGTTCGTGTTCGTATTAACGGGTATGGTATGAAAGAAGACGCCTCCGCGCGTGAAAAACGCGATATTCCATTGTATGTGCTGCAGAGCCTCGTTTACGCCGCAGAATGTTTTATATCTGCCGCTTGAGCATTGCTTTGTTTGCTTTTTTCCCTACTTCATACCGTTGCTTCTAGTTAGCGATGTCGGTGAAAAGAACAAAAAAAAAAAATCGTTGCTCATTACTTTTGTTTTCCAGCATTGCGTGAATTCGTGGTGAAACGAGCTGTGCTGCTCTATTGTGGTTACATTTGATTTATTTCTTTTTTTTCTTTAATTATATCAACGAGCGTTTTGCTTTTTCGGTTTGCTAGTCTCATTGAAAATCAAAACTCTCTCAAGTCATTCGATTTTCTGTTGTAAAATATGCTAAAACATTGATAAATAGCTGAAAAATCACATTTTTTTTTTCATACTGATTTTTCAAAGTCGATAAAATAAGAAAATAAAAAATCACACTTAACAAAATCGAGATTCTATTTTACTCATTTTACAGAGCTAATAGGTATCTAAGAACAAAAAAATGAACCAAGGCGTATCTAAATCCGTCGTGAGAATTCTGCGATGCTACCGATCATACATATGCACACGCACACACATGCAGAGAGATATATTTCTACCAGAGTATTCTACTTATATTCTAAACTTGAGAGAATGTATACGTTGACATCATGTTATCTGCAAGCTACTGTATCGTCCATCAAAAAACAACGAATTACTCACTCTATCAGGAAGCAAAAGTACCCAAGACTTTGTCCACATGGAAATACACAACATGCATCCACCTCAAAATCCGTCAGTTGGGCAGCAATTATCGCACAACTAATTCAAGCGTCGATAGCAACAAACAGGCGTCCGCCAGTTCCATGCAAACACATCCCTGCGCGGTTTGTAATATTGTGATAACTTCCCGAGAGCCGCTGCTCCTCCCCCTCAGTACACCTCCGATCCTTTCCACCCCAACAGTGACGCAACTTCGAACTTACATTGCCTGCATGTGTATAATATGTATGTATATATATATATATACACGCTCCCTCTTTCACCGGTGCCGCCATGCTGCAGGGAAATATGATTATTGCTATTATTTGCCAGCCAGTGCGACCCTCCGTCTACACCCACCATCTCTCAGGGGGGAGTTTTACTCCTGTGAGCGTCCCACCCTCCGTTTTCCTTTCTCTGCCGCAAAGTTGTGGCTGTTGTAAGCCAACTCGCGTTCGCTGCGAGGGGTGGTGAGGACGAATACTGTACTGGTTTAACTGGAAAGTCGAAAAGATGGCCGAAATATTTACGTCCCGTCGTAATTAATGGAATTTCACGGGACAAAACATTTTTTGGAGCATATAACGCTGTATTTTTTTACATCATCGTGTTGCGAGCATCGACAAAATTGCCACTCGCTGTTTAACATAAGTGGGCTTGGTGGTAAGATAAAAGAAAGGCATTACTTACAAACCAGCTGATGAATCAGACGTGCGTACAACAGTATAGTGTTGAATGTCAAGCAGAATTGTTTCGTAAAAAAAATCAATGATGTAACTCGTTTTGTTCGGTATTGCCACAACTTCGCATTGTTCTTTATGTCTTATCGTTCTTTAATTAGTAAATGGAGTATAATATGTTGCAAGGTTGTAAAAAACATCACTCAAATTTTGAGATAAGGTGCGACCTCGTAAGTAAAGGTTTCTTATTTTGACGGCCACGATACAAAATGTGTGTCTGATTCGTCATTATTCGGCATCGGAAAATCGGATCAATCACGTCATAATGTGACACGCATGGTAATTAATGTCAGGTTGCAACCAACTGTTCATATTTTAATCATTTTATATCACTAATTAAACAATATGCATTTTTGAGAGCATTTTAATTACTCAATCAATGATGTACATACAAATTAATAATCTCAAGATGATTACGAAGTCGCTGTGATTCTCATTCGAGGTATAAAAGAGATTTTTCTGATTTCGAGTTCAGTTGATAACTTTTCTCCCACACAGTCCTCAACACAATTTCTCTTATCATGAAAGGTAAGCTGTGCATTTCTGTATCTATTGCGTTATGTTATGTTATTGGCACATATACCCAGAAATCATAAGATTTTAATTACATAAATTGTGTTTTTTCATCGATACAGCAATCGTCGCTGTGGCACTATTCGGCCTCATTGTCGTAGCTGCTTATGCTCAGGAACAAGATGAGCATGTGGAAAATGCACCAAAAGTTCATTGTCCCGAACAATTCGAGCATAGCGAGAACATCCTTCTGCCAAATCCCAGCGATTGCAATAGTTTCTACCAGTGCGTTTGGGGAGTGCCTTACCTGATGGAGTGCCCGTCCAATCTGCACTTCAATCCAGAAATTAATATGTGCGACTGGCCCGAAGATGCCAATTGCAAACTTGTTGATTAGTTGATATTACGTTCGTAACTACTGTTTTCCGTACATAAAAGTATTGATAAATTGTTTTTGTTATTTACACCTCCACTGTATACTTGTCAAATAAATTGTTTCAAAATTTAATTCATGTTATTACAAATTTCTTTAATCTAAAGAATACTAACATGAATATCGAAAGATTTAGGTAAGCTGGGAATAAAAAATGTCACTACCTGCGTATGACTATTGGAAACACTGTCAACATTTTATTTCCTGATTAAAACATAGCATTAAAAGATAAATGTTTATTAGGTTTTTTTTCTATTTTTTAATACAGTATTGCGTTATGTAACATAAAAACATGAAATACAAGTTTTTTTCATTATTTTATCATAACTATCACAAGTCATTGGTCTTAAGCACATGGAACAATACGTGTATCTCACTATGGCATCAAGTAATTACATCAAAATTCTGAGAAGTAAAAAAAATCTTTAAAATTAATTGTATGATACCTCAAATCTACTTCAACCCTAAAATTTTTCTACCTTTTTATATTAATTCTACGTATACTGCGTCGCATTAACGCGAAAACTAAAACAGCATATAATAGGGCATGTGCAAGGGGTACGTGGTTCGGAGGAGCACCTAATTTGCTGGGGAGGTAATTATTTTATTAAGTGAGAAGATGGCGGACTGAGTGCCTAAAGGGAGCGAGAAAAGTCGAGTTTTGACTGAGCCGAAAAAGAGAGAGAAACATAATGACAATCGGACGAGCGAAATCGAAATTAGTTGTGAGCGGAGTTGTAGCATGGAAAAGAGTTTTGCTTAAATGAAACAATTTTTTTTTCATTTTTTTTATTTTTTAAAATCCTTCTAAAGGTCTGAAATTTAACAAGTACTGCGTTGCCATTGAATGTTAGCTGGACATAAAAAAGGATTATACTTTAGATACTCTTGTGAATGTAAAATGTAATTTACCAAATAATGAGTTAATACAAAGTTTTAACTGATTATTAAAATTTGAATTTTTTAAACGACTGAATTTCGACTTTCACAATAAGCCTTACTTTTCCATGCAACTTAAAACTTCTTAAGATTTTACTAACCCAAGTGTAATAGAGTCTTATGAGCTTTAAGGATTTCGTTGATACTAGAACTATACCCTCAATATTATCCTTGACCAAAAATGTCTGAGTTATTGCGGTGAATACAAAGCCAATATAAACTATTGCTGATATAGCAGTGAGAATTATGAAACTTATCTGAAGTATTAACTTTTTTTTTATTGTTTATCATGTGGGATCAGATTTATGTATTTTTGTATATGAGTATTTCAACATTAAGTAGACAGTACTTCATCGTGAATTGGTTTAACGAGTACATATTTATTTTAAGTAAAAGTTTGTCGTTTAAAACTAGAAGACGAATTGGAACTAAGGTAACCAAACTCGAAGAAAAAATATTGTGAAAATCACAGAATTTAAATAAAAAACTTCGTGTTTGTAATATTTATAAAACTTTGCAGTTTCTTTTGGATTTCAATCTCTGTAATTTTTATTACAAACAGTTGATAATAAAAACAATTTGTCAACTATTAACTTCTTTTATCTTGACTATTGAGCTTAATTAAATTTTCTAGGATTTAGTTGTTTTTTTGTTTAAACTGATTGCATGATTTAATTTACATCCGACTGTAGCAAGACAACCACATGTACAGTATCCCATGTATTTAAATGTTCATAGTGAATAGAAAATAAATTAATACTGGTTCACTCTAAACACAGCGATGGAAAGTTGCGAAATTTTTACGATTTGGTATAAAGAATAAGATACGTCCATTGCTTGGAAAAATTTACAGTTAAGCTGTAAAGAGATGTTACTGCAATTAATATAGTAATCTACAATAAATTATTAGTAACCAAGAATTTACAATATTTTCTAGTAGTTTGATCAGTGGGTATTATAGTTATGGACATTAAAGTCTTATCAATACTTGGTTGTATGAAATTTTCTTTTTACGATAGTTTTTTATAGGATACTTTGTTAGTAAAACTTGAATACCACAAAAATAATCAAATATTAAAGAATGGTTACTTGAAAATCCACTGATATGATTCGCCGTATTATAAATCACTCCAAATTTGCATAATCTGCAATATCTTATCATTTTTATTTAGTAATTAGGTATGTCCTAAAGTTATGAAAGCAAAATTTAAAAAAATTTAAGATACAACTTTTGTATTACTACAGGTGAATGATTAAATAAATATTTTTATTTAAAGGGCCATATAACTATCAATCTTATTTTCAACATTTCTACTATGTAACAGTATCACCAAATTTATTCAAGGTCCTCGCTATTAAATGATAAAAATTATGCAACTGCGTATATAATTCTTTGACATATAAATTTATGAATATCTCATTGATTATACGTTGATTACGTAACGCGTTAAACATGATATATGCCCTCAGGTTGTAACCAACAGTTCACGTCTTAATTATTCTACATCACTAATTAAACAAAACGAATTTTTAACAATATTTTGTAAATTTACATTATTAGTCAAGGATGTATAAACAAATTAATAATCTCAAGATGATTACGAAGTCGCTGTGAATCTCATTCGAGGTATAAAAGAGATTTTTCTGATTTCGAGTTCAGTTGATAACTTTTCTCCCACACAGTCCTCAACACAATTTCTCTCATCATGAAAGGTAAGCTGTGCATTTCTGTATCTATTGCGTTATGTTATGTTATTGGCACATATACCCAGAAATCATAAGATTTTAATTACATAAATTGTGTTTTTTCATCGATACAGCAATCGTCGCTGTGGCACTATTCGGCCTCATTGTCGTAGCTGCTTATGCTCAGGAACAAGATGAGCATGTGGAAAATGCACCAAAAGTTCATTGTCCCGAACAATTCGAGCATAGCGAGAACATCCTTCTGCCAAATCCCAGCGATTGCAATAGTTTCTACCAGTGCGTTTGGGGAGTGCCTTACCTGATGGAGTGCCCGTCCAATCTGCACTTCAATCCAGAAATTAATATGTGCGACTGGCCGGAAGATGCCAATTGCAAACTTGTTGATTAGTTGATATTACGTTCGTAACTACTGTTTTCCGTACATAAAAGTATTGATAAATTGTTTTTGTTAACATTTCTTGAATAAATTGTTTTGAAATTAATTTTACAAACGTAAGTGAAATTAATAATAAATTGATAGTACTGTAAGAACTTCAAGGTTTTTTATTTTTACATTCACTTGTTTAAGTAATTCATGAATAATTAACGTTACCAAGATACCTGTATGTTTAAATACGCACACTTTATAACACAGTGAATGTCATGAGATTAAGTGACACCACTTTAATGGTATGTAGAAAATTCAAGTTTAAATTATTAAACACGTTCATCTTAATTAATCAATAACCCGTATGAAACAATAAACGTCATGAAATAGTCCATTTATTATTTAATTAAAATTTTTCAAGATAAGTAACCACTAATTTTGACATAAAAAAAAAAACTAATTTCCATGAAAATTTGACAAGTCTAACAATTAAGTCTCCCTACTCCTTTCAAATCACTTTTAAGGTACACAGTCCCATTACAGCGAAAACTGAAGCAGCATATAATAGGGCATGTGCAAGGGGTACGTGGTTCGGAGGAGCGCCTAATTGGCTGGGGAGGTAATTATTTTATTAAGTGAGAAGATGGCGGACTGAATGCCTAAAGGGAGCGAGAAAAGCGCGCTCGTGCGCTTACGTGGGGATCTGACTTGGAGCCGAGAAAGAGAAAGAGAGACATAATGACAATGAGACGAGGAGACGAAGAGCGAAGCCAAAAGCGGCTGATCCCAATGTGGTCGCGAGCGGAGTTGTTATACGGGAAATGGTTCTTGTTTAAATGCCGACCGACAAGCGAAAGGGTGAAAGTTTGCCGAGTATTATGGCTTTTTGTGACTTTCGACGTCTTTTTGCGGGAACCTGGGAAATAGGGTTTAACGAGGATTCGCCGAGTTTTTGGTTTAAGCTGCTAACAAGGATAAAGAGCTTGATAAATTGTAAGTGATAGAACAGTGGTTGGGTGACGGAAATAAATGTATTAAACTAAATTAAATGTAACTTTGTTGATGTTTTTTTTTCCTTTCTACTTAATAAATTGTGCCATGGTAAACAAAAGCGTTGTTTTTAGTTATTTGACAAAAAAGAATTTCACCTTAATTAAAGCGTGTATAGGTAGTTGTGACAAAAACATTAATAAATTGAAAAAAATAAAAAAAATAAAGCGAAACACGAAAAACAAATTATTTACCAAGTTCTTGTTTGTATTAATATAAATTGATGGATACAAATATTTACAAAATCCCATGGAATTTAAATTACCGGGATATTGTATCTCTCATCAAATAAATGATTTTTTTTTCTTTTTAATACATTTGCAATATAAATATTTTGTTTTTCACAGAAAAGTTACGTCGTGGTTCGTAATAATCGTCATTGGTAGATTTTATTACCAACTGTCTTGACTCATACTAAATTGTCACGATTGTGTGCCATGAGAAATCCTGTTTCTTGTGTTCGTGTACATTTTAAATTGAGACCCAATGAGATACGATTTCGAGATTAGCGAAGTAAAAAAAAAAAAAAAAAAATGTATTAAAAATAGGGGATAAACATGAAATCCGGATTTCGAAAGCCAGCCGTCTCACTCGCAATGGACCTTATACAAACGCTATTGTAGATCGCGCGCGAACGAGGAGAATTACCCTAAAAGGCGAGAGAAGATAGACGCGACTGGGAGCAAAGGCGGAGAGGAGGGGTTCGAAGTGGAGAGTAGTCGAGCGGCAAATTGTCCGCCATCTTAGCTACCTTCCTCAGCCTTACCTCGCACCCTCTTTTTCCACCGCCTCCGCCACCATCACAACCCACGTTTGGCTATGAGTCCATGCGACGTCTCTCTTTTGTCCCTTTCGCTCCACCCTCTCCTTTACCAACTTGTGTGGCTTATAAGCATTGCTGTTTTGTACGCGTTGCGGTTGTGTCTCAGCTTTAGAGAGCTTTGCTACGATGAATCCATTTTTTTTTTTTTTTTTTTTTTTTTTTCGCAGTGCAGGGTTTTGGGTTGAAAAATTTTTATTAGGGATCTTATCGATTTTTGATCTTTCGATATGAGAATCAGAAAACACACAAAATACGCCAGATGCCGAAACATCACACACAAAAAATTCTTAATTACTTCAAAAAACAAAAAAAAAATCCAAATATTGTATCATGGAGGGCAAAACAAAAATTTTTAAATGTCATATGGAAAAAATATTGAAGTATCATTTGCACAGTATATAAGTATATAATTTTTAAATCGATTCAACTTTTTTTGCCTTAATAAATTCCTGATCAACCAGACAAAAATATTAATTTGAAATTCTTAGCTGTTCACTATTTCCTAAGACACTGGACATATCCCATATGTCTATTATTTCCACCATTTTGGGCGGTAAGGAAAGCAGGCGTTTTAACGTGAGTAATTTACCAGAACGTGCCTAAAAATTTATTTGTTTTTCATATTGATAAGTAGCTTTTACAATTTTGTTTTTTTTTGGCAGTCGAGTTTTTGACTAAGTCTAAAAATACAAGCCTAAAATCCACACAAAAAGTCGTAAAAGTCTTCCTTTGAAAGTACTCGTATTGTAAATGATATTGTCACGTTTTTTTTTATATAATATTAATAGTGAAGTTTTTTAAATTATCAGAAAAATTTTTTAACACATTATTTCCAAGGTTTAACTATTAATTGAAGTAGTAAAGGACTATATTTAGTCAGACATGCGTAAAAAGCTTTGTTTTTCCTTCAAGTCAATAATCAAGTATAAAAACGTTGACGCCTACACGAAGATGTTATATTACTCGATGGGTTTCGTAATTAATGAATTAGGGTATGAAAATTATAAACTGCAACGAAAAACGAAGGAACGCACGTATCAATCACCAACCGAGTATGCTTTGTCAAAATGAATACCGGTTTTTAATTAACAAATCAACGCATACATTAATAAAACATTATTACTCCAACTTGAGACCATAACAAGCAAAAAAAATTTTGAAACATAAGTTCTATCTCATAAAACAATTGAATACTTAAAAACTTGTGAAATTTTAAAAATGGTATTTTTTATAATATAAAAAAGTATTTTACCAATTATTTGGTTTGAAGCTTCCTTAGACTTATAGTTATAGATATTATTGTACACTTGCATCTCTCATCCAATTCTTTTAACAAAGGAACGATTTTTAAAAATATCAGGTAATAATTTTGCGAAAATAAATAATTTATTTTACGACTTAAAAAAATTCAGCAATAATGATTTTTATTGACAACTTTAAAAGGACTTGACCGACATGATGAATTAAAATACTAAAAGGTATACTTTGATATTCGTAAAGCTGGTGAAAGTGGTCAAACCATTCAACTCGGGTTGCGGTCGCCACAGATGATCTGATTTTTACCAACGATTGGTAATGAAGCTGAACACCATTTTATTGTTTTATCACTATTTGATAATCAACTCAATGTAATAGTGGGAGTTTCTTTCTTGCCATCTACTGCACTATAAATAACTGCGAGCGATGATTAAATTAATTTATTAGAAAAAAATTGATAAATTTCTTGGCGGAACGTTAATTCACATTACACTTAGCATTTCTCAAGAACTAAATGTGTTATTCAAATGTACGCATGACAAAAACTTAAGTCTAAACATTTTAACTAGCAACTAACAATTTACTTCTATTACCTTTGGTTTTTTTTTACATTTTAGAAAAATGTACAACCCTCTCATATTTATTATTAAACCAGATGATATTTACACTGGTGTTGTATCAATTTGAGGATAGTCAGGGGAACACTACTCTATTCTATTGGTTTTGAAGAATCGATGTAAATTCGTATAATAAGTGGATCGTTCAATCGATCGAAGAGAAATGTGTAAGTATAATGCGTAATGAAATAATTTTTTTTTTAATTCTTGTGTATTCGGGTGTCAAAACTTATAACTGTTTAAAACCTTAACATATTCAGAAACGGAAAAATTTTCCTGTTAATGCATATTTTGAACAAACAAAGGTAGGGAAAAAATGAATCATCAGGCGGGAGTATGAATTTCGAACTACTGATCTGCCAAGGCGATATTTGACTTGATAATATCCTCGTAGACTATAACATTGGAAAAGTGGTGTTATATCAATTAGTAAAAGTAAACAACAGTTAGTAGATCATTTTGTAAAATGTAACACGTTTATTCGTAAATTGTTGTGGTCATTCGGTTTTTTACGAGTTTTTCAAATTTAAAATAACCTTTATTTACATTTAATGTACAAAAATTATTTACAAGATTATACCTTAAAATCAACAACACAGCCACCTTGTCGCTTGTTTAAGCTCATTCATTCATAAGAAACTACTATTTAAAAAATGGCACACACCATCGTGCAAGCATTTTTCCAGTTTGAACAAAAATAATGAAAAAATAAATAAATAAAAAAAAAAAAAATCCTCAAACTGCATTAATCTGGACTTCGTTATTATGAACGTTAGCCGAAATGGATTTAACGTTCGCACCTAGATGCCTCAGACCTTGAAAATTTAAAAAATATTCACTGGGCCATGGGGAGTTCAAACTCATCAAGTGACAAAGGGCTTTACGAAACGTCAGGTTGTTCCAGGCGTAGATCAATGGGTTTATACCGCTGTTTAACATTGCTATGCAGTACGCCACGTGTAGAGTGATTCGATCAGGCTCGTACGGTAGTTTCGAAAATCGTATACAGGAAATGATGACGTAGGGTAGCCAGCAAATCGTGAAACAGCCCAAGATGGAAAGCACGACCTTATCGGAGAAAACATGTGTAAGTAAATAATTTAATATTTAGAAGACGAACACTAATTATAGGTGCATACCTGATTGCTCTTGTTGTAGTTGCAATGTCCGTTGAATCCAAGCTCATTCAGTCTTTGAAAGTGCGCTCTCACTTCTCTCCAAATTTTCCAATAAAATACAAACATACTTATCCAGACTATCAAAAACATTGGTATTAAAATAACGTTCAAATAGTACCTGAAAAATTAAATTTTTATGTATAGTTCATCGGCCAGTGACAAAATATGACAATTTTACTCCACTGCACGCACCTGGGGATGAAATTGAGAAGCTTGCATTTTTTTGTCGACTGATACGTGTTCCAGTAAAGAGGAATCGTGGAAATGAAAATAGCTGCGCACCAGTTGACAATTACCACCACATTTATCAATTTTTTGGTAATGTACGTGGGATACTCGAGCGGATGGACGATCGATACGTAGCGATCGATGGCTATTGCTGTGATGTTGAAGAAACTCGCGGTACAAGCACCAGAAATAAACACAAACCTGTTGAAATAAATTTAAAAATGTGTTTAATTACTCAAAAAAAATTTTTTTTTGTTTATTCTTTTACTTGCCTGAGTAAACACGAGAATTTGTAGTGGTCGAGAGATGGGTAGAAGAAAAAGACGAGATCGTAGGACACCGCAAAACCTACGCACAGATCTGAAATGGCGAGGCTGAATATGAGGTGATTGGAGGTGATTTTGAACAGTATACGGTTCAGCCTCCCTGCGAGGATGGTCATCGAGTTTCCGAGTATTATTAATGCCACTAGAACGGCATCTCCCGTCCAATACATGATATGCGGTGCCAATTTTTTATTTCACTTGTTGGATTTAGGAAACCGATCGTTTTTTATTAAATGGTACCTTGATATCATCTGGTACGAAACTATTCATTTCTCACAGAACAAGTTTTATGATCAAACTTTGCACACTACCGAACTATTATTCAAAAACGAGAACCAGAAACTTTTGTGGTTGAAAAATGAAATGTAAGCCTCGCACATTCAGGAACAGAAGTGGTGATGATTAACTTTTGTTTAGTTTTCACACTTTTTACACATTCATTAAAACTTAGAAAGTCAAACTGCTTATCTATTGTCTTCATTAGGTAATGAGGTAAGGGTTTATATAATTAATTTAAAAAATTACTTGCCCGCATTATGCTTACAGTTATAACTCATCGTTTTTGAATATTTTTATTGACACATTCGATGGGACTAACCAATTTTTTTAGCAATTTTTGACAATAGATCGTTAGTTAAAAAAAAAAAAAAATTTCAATCATTTAAATTAAACTCATTAAACGAAGTATGAGTTAACATCAATTAAATTAACACGTGCCAGTTTTTCTTTATAGATTACGATTCGTTATCTGTATTTTTAGGGCAACTTTTAAAGTGAAAGTATTTACGTGAGTTCTTCAAAACCTCGAAAAAAAATTTTAATTACCATAAGTCATGCTAGAAATACGTGTATTCAAGTAAAATCCAATAATTTGAATACATCCGTGCAGTAGTACTTATAATATTTAAAAAAATACCTTATAAATATTGTAAAATTGTTTTTCAAAGTAAAATTCGTTTGCGAAAGGATGAACATTTTCTTGAACAAGTAACGATTCAAAGAACCCGTAAAAATGTTGCCCTCCCTAATTTGTCCTTTCAGTGCATATGTGAATATAAAAAATTACTGCACCAAGAAAGTGTCTCCTAAACAAAGTTTTAAAAATATTTTTCGTCAGACAAGTCACTTTTGCTTTATAAAAATATATTTACTATTTCAGTATAGCAATTACGTTAAAGCACTTTTGTTACAAGATTAAATATAATACATTGAACAATAATTTACTACGCTTAATACTCAGATTCCTCGTATTTAAAACATTTTCAAAACAACACAAGGGGCAAAGGGGGAGGCAAGGTATATATGTCAAATGTATCATCATACTACATATACATATAGGTGTATGTGGCAGTGTAGGTGATGTGTTTATGTTAATAACACGATGTCGGTCCCGGCGGTGTTGGGTCGTATCTTGGGCCAGCGTGCGATCCTGGACTCCGTGAGCCGGCTGTGCGCACCACTAGCTCAGCTCCAGGTCCAGCAGCAGCGGGACTACTTCAAGCTCGTGGAAAAACCGAAACCTGGTGTCAAAGGAAAGTCTTATCGCAGGATAGTTCACTTCAAGGACAAGTATACCATCGAGCCCTTGGAAGTTACCAATCTCGGTGGCAGAGATCCTGTTACGGGTGAGTGGTGATTTGGGCAAGAGTTGGTTAAATTTTTTTATTCATAAATTGTCTCGCATGCAGAGTGTGTTGAGATTTGGTTTTTAGGTTATGTGCATATCGCAGGCTTCGTAGAGCAGACGACTCTCATTGTTTGTGTGCACATATTTTGCAGATTGTTGTTCATACAGATTTGTTTTTCAAACATACCTGTTAATTAATTTGGAACGAAAGCGTGAAATTTCATAGTTTTGGTTGATTATACTGTTTTATTATTTGATTGTGTGTCATTTTTGAGGTAATATCATGCATAAAATGCCAAACTTAGCCAGTCAAGGTGTGGGGAAAGGAAAATAATGTGAATACAATTAGACATTTATTAACTGTAGCTAGTAGAGTCATACTTTTGAACTCCCGCTAGCCATTTTAACATTGCCGTCAGTGTAAATATAAACTATAAACGTAAATATAATCTCATCAACTCTTGTGAGACAAAACAAGACCACTTTTTTTTCTCACTCATCAAGACATATTCTGTTTTTTTAGGTCGGAAAGTGGTCATTGGTATTGGTGGTGGTATAAAGCACAAATATCATTGGATCAACTGGAGGAGGGATGGACCATCTGATCTCAATGAGAGTCCAAAGGAAGAAAAAGTCTTACAAGTCTTTAAAGATGGTTGCCGCACCAGTCATGTTGCTCTTGTTGGGAGTGGAAAAGAATTGTATTACATTCTTGCCACCGTGAACATGAAACCTGGAGATATTCTAAGAACTCACAAAGGAATCCCTCGTATTCCTCGAAATCCCAATGAAGGTGACTGCTATGCACTGGGATCTTTGCCAATAGGTACTCAAGTCAACTGTGTTGAAAAATACGTTGGATGGGGTGGTTGCCTGATGCATGCAGCTGGAACTTTTGGTACCATTACAAAGAAAGACAAAAATCGTGTGGTTGTGAAAGTACCAAGCAAGAGGGAGTTCAGCTTAGATGAGTATTGCATGGCAACTGTAGGTCGATTATCCAATGTAGAACATAGCTCAACACCTATTGGAAGTGCTCAAAAAAATCGAGAATTAGGTAACAGGCCTAGAAGTGGCTTATGGCATAGGAAAACTGGCAAACATGGGCGTAAAATCAAACCACTACCACCTATTACGTCATTTAATCTTCACGAGTATAAACCACCAGGAACTATACAATTAACTTTGAGTGGTTTGTAAAATGCTGTTTTTTGATTGAGGAAAGTTTGTAAATATTTTTTCTAGATTAATCAAGATTCATAGAACAGGTAATGATTGTTAAACATCACTTGTAATAAAAAATGAAGGTTCTAATGGAATAAAGAACAATACATTTTACTGTTCTTAGACGTAATAGTATTTATTGTCTTGAAATTGTGTTAGCATGACACAAAATTTAATTGACTATTTGTATTGTAACATTTTTCACAATTTATTTAAACTTTTCAATAGATAAATTTGTTTTTATGTCACAAACGTTTTAAAGTAATCAATACACAATATCTTTACAACAACAGCAGCTTTAAAATTAAAAACAGACCTATACCTATATCACAAAAAATGCAAATGCTCAAGTCTACTTTAACCAGAAAACTTCTCAATAGCTTTAAATGTAAATATAGTAAAATGTAAATAATCTGTGGATTTGATAACAAGTCGGTTCAGCTTTGAGTTTTTCATTCATGGATAAAACATTTCAATAAACTTGAACAGCAATTAAAGTTTTATGTAACAATAGTTATCTGGAATGGCACTTGTGTAGTTTTTGCACGAACTTAAACGATTGATACTTTTAACTTCATTCTTCACAGTATGCGTGATATACAGGTGAGTTATTGTAATCTCATTAGGCAACCCATGTCACCAAGGATATATTAAAAAGCAAGCTATTGAACACAGATGCACGCCCTTCACTCACATTCACTCAGTACACACCTGTAAATTTGTGCCAATTAATTCCTGATCTCAACGCGAGACTCTCAATTGACATTTATCAGAATAGAACCCAAACAGGCATTAATCAAAAAGTCCCAGAAGATTCGTACCCTCAAATCGAGACACATACGCCAAACGCCAGCATCGACACAAATTCACAGCCCCTTGTTGTAATAAACGACTCGAGTGCCCGGTGCCTTCTTCAGTATCTCCTCTCTCGTGTCCTCCTCGAGATGGTCGACGTTGACTGCGACTTTTTGGGCAAACAGGGCGCAACACAATGGCGTCGCGAATGTCAGACATAAGCCGCAAAAGGCCACCTGGATCGGTCCTGCCCACAACGAGCCTCGGGCCAATATACACCGACGTTCCAGCGTGTCTATCAGGACAGGTGCCAACACTACGACAGGAGTAAATTATTGTACAAATTAATGTACCCCCAGGTCCCACCTGCATCATCACACTCACCCATACTGGGCATGGCCATGCCAATCCTAGACACAGTGACGGAAGATATGGCCTCTCTGGCGGCTTTCCGGCTCCTAGCGAGCAGATCGCCTTTCTCGTTCTGAAGCTCGATGCCGTCCCTCAGCTCCGTGAACCTCATTAGGGGAATATTGACGCAATTTGCCGCAGCCACGGCTGCCAGGGGTACGAGTCGTCCGGCTAGCGGAGGTCCCCGTCTGGCTAGTCTGTTGAGCCCGAGGGCCGTGACCAGAGCACCCCCAGTCGCCCCCACGTAGCTTATGCCCAGGGTCTCCAAGGGTATCGGGCTCGAGCCGCTTCGGTTCGTGTAGTTGACCACCGCGTTGAACGACTGGTTGAACCACTGCCAGAATATCACCGCAGGGGTCGATCTAAGGGTAACGTGCATAGGTAATTATTGCTGTTTCAGTATTTAGAGTGGGTAAATTTTGCATTTAACTCCTTTTTCTTATTTATTTCATACTTTACGTTGGTTCAATTTGAGTCAGTATGCAGTACAAGTGAACAATGGCACATGTATAAATAATTTTCCATGAATAAATAAAATTTCCTAAGGAGGTTTTAGTATCCGAGTCGACGCTCGATGATTCACACGTGCCTTTTGAAGGTACGTAAAATGAGGTTCTGATTAAGTAATACGCTTCAATTTTTTCACCGTAAATTTTAATAGTACTTGGTGCTTATGTCATTGCACGTGCCAGGGATTTTCGTGTGTTTGAGAAATAATTACTTAAAATGGGTCACTATCTCACGAATGTAGGAGACTCTTGCACAACAGAGATGAGATAAAATTGAAGTTTAAAATTATTGGGTATAGGTATCATCCCCAACCAAATTGATGTAGTGAAGGTAAATAAATTGTCTTCTGTGTTTTTATGAAATATTATTTTGTTTTGTAATCATAAACATAATTAAAGAGTCTAAGTATTTAACTTAATCAGATGGATCAATAAAAAAACCAAATGGATCTTAGATAAAATAAATTCAGTTTAAACAACTGTACCAAGGGGTCTTGCATAATTTATCCGTCGAAAGATAAGCGAGAGATGACGGAGCCTCGTAACCTTCGGCCTCCCATTTTTCACCATTTAGATACAATTTAAAATATTAGTTCATCTGTCCTCAAAAAATGTATACCATCACAAATTGCTTAGATTGAGCTGATTATTCGGACCCAAGAAATTAAAAAAGAAAAATAAATTTGTACGGTTGACGTATAATGGAATTTGGCGTGTGTCCAAACGACACGCGTGAAAGCATTTTTAAAATAAGCATCTTCAAATAAAATGTAGGATGCGTTTAAAGAATTTACAACTTTTTATGTGTCTTGCTTAAAAATCACTCGTCGTTTTTGTCCGACACTGTAATTAGTTAATTAATTAATCAATAATTTAGAAGAATTTATCAGATACCAAGGACACTTCAAAATATTTCTTAGAAGACCAAAAAAATAAGAACAGAGTTCCCATTGCTTATAACAATGTTTACGGTTCCATTGAAAAAAAAAAATTGGCTGAAAGTTCGTGCAATATCAGTTTCAATAAAAAAAAAAAAAAAAGTAGAAACGAGTGAGTAAAAAAAAAAAAGGAAAAAGAATCAACCTACTTGTAAAACGTCATCATACAGCCGGTGATCATCATGTTCATGGGCACTTGGGCGCTCATGCGTCCGACCATTACCATCTTTTCACCGGTATCCGGGTGATAGGCGCTGTCGTACAAATACTTGGCTCTCCACAGTTCGTCCTCGTCGATCCCCAATTGCTTCAAGGAGGCACCTTTTCTATTTACACGTACATCGGCGGCAAAAAAAAGGCATACACACGAGCTCGATTAATTATGGTTCCTCTGTGGTCAACCACACCACGCCATTGCTTTTATTATTTTGCCAAGTGCTTCAATTGTGCTTAATGTACTGGAATGCAGATTTAATGGCAAAGGGTGATTTGGTCGCAAAAACATTTTCAAGGTCAGTTTTTTTTTTTTTCATTTTCAAAGAGTCGCGTCCATCATCGTTAATATTCGCAACGAGTTTTAGACAAAGTGTCGAAAGATGAAAAATGACGAGTCAGCGAGCAGCCGTCAGATATTCCATCGACAATAAATAACTAATGACAGAATGAGGACCAATGGCATAGCGGACTTTGGTTTGCGCAGAGTGCAATTATCAACGCGCCCTTCTTACTTTTGACACACATTTGCGCCTATATGTTTCGCTCGATTGTGTGCTCATAAGAAAAATACTGGTGCTGGATAAAACAAAAAAATGCATATTTATCGAGAGAGTACTACTCGCGTGAAGGTCGATTTTAATTATTATTAATAGAAAAAGGTTCAGATCTTGTTTAATTTCAAACTTTTTCAACATTATTTGGACGCAACGGAAAAAATCATCTAAAATTACGTTATAAACAATAAGAGAATAAATTGCTTTTTTTTAAATAAATTGTAAGGTAAAACGAGTGGTAATAATACCTGTATTTGGTAACGATTTCCTTCGCCCTGTCGAGCTGTTTGCTCGTGGCGAATGCGTTCAAAGGATTCGTCACTGTAAAAAAGTGCTTGGCCCGGCCTGCGTAAGTGCTCTGGTCCCATCTGGGCTTATCTATGTTGATACTCATTTTCTCGAATTTTTAATGTTTGCTCCTTAAACCTGAAATGAATTTATGCCCTCATGAGTCTGTTGAAGTGTTATTATTTAAAAAATTCAACTGTAGAAAATACTATTTGTAGAAACTTTGTTTGAATAATATTTTCTTTTTTTCTTTTTTTTAATTTCAATGACAAAACTAATGATTTGCATTACCGCTGTAATCCTCAAAAACAAACATACCAACTTGGGATGCAATTAAAGTTTATAACGAGAAGTAAGAAAGTATGAGCAAAGCAAGCACACGAAATCATGAAATAACGATGGTCGAACTTATATCAGTTTCACGCACAAAACTATATCTTGCGTAATTTCGATAAGAGGATAAACTAGAAGCGTGCGATCGAGAGCGGCTTTATCTGGAGGGCCGACAGCACATTAATACTTGTCGTGATTAACCGCGTCAAAGCCACTTTCGAAAGAGCAAACAAAAAGCATCTTGATTTACATACCAGCACAAAACATCATTGACAATTTTTCCCACGCGCTCATTCGATCACATAATATACGCACGAATCACGCTTCAAAGCACGAAAGTAATTCGTTCTTCTTCCACAATTAGGAACTTAAAATCTGATTTGATTACCACAACAGCAGTGACGGCTTTACTACTATTTAATTCGTGTTCAAAACTCATCTCAACTTGTCAGCATTAAAACAAAATATTTTCCCACCTGTGCTAAATTGAAAAAAAAAAAAAAAAAAAAAAATAAAAATAAGCTCGTCAAAACGCACACTTGACTCAACCATCCTTCCAATCGTCCACTATTACTTCCCCCTTCTCCATCCAAAGGAACACACTGTATATATATATATTATGTAGCATCCTTAACGCCATGTCCTACCTGCTCCAGCTATATCCTTGCGCTACGTTCTCTTGAGCCTTTGGGAGTACGGAAATATGTATCCAATTTCGGAGAGCAAGTACAACTAATAATGCCACGAGTCCGGAAAATTCGAGGACAAAGGAGGAAAGAGGGGCGAGGGAGTTGGGGGGCCGGAAAAGGCTGTAGTTTTCCGGGGACGACAGGCGCAACGTAAAGACGGAACAGCTGTCGTCGCGAAACTGAGGGACGTGCCGGGCACAGCTGCCACGATGATGGCTTTCCAGTTACTACTGCTCTCGCTCTTTTTCTCTCTTTTGCCTGTACATGGTGTTTGTTGGCGCCAGCTATAACACTCCGTATCTGTCTCTCTTTCCAGGGTCAGTGGGGTAGTATACGGGATGTATTTTACTCGTTTTTGCCGCACGAGGTCGGTTTGAGGGCTTTGTTTTTCTCCCATCAGAGTTTCGCTGCGAAAACTTTGAGTCAAAGTTTCTTTTTTTTTTTTTTTTTTTTTTTTTTAAAGAGCAGCCAAAGAGCCAAATGGGTTGTTAACGAGCTGAGATAAAAATTTCACTTGTCACTTGGTTGCTTATCTCGAGATAGGAATAATCAAACTAACTTCAACCAAATTATCATTTGAAAAGTTTCCAAACAAATCAAATTTGATTAATTTATTTAGAAAGTTTGTGCGCGTCTACGATAAAAATGCTAATTGACCCATAAATTAATAACGCGTCAGCTAAGAGGTAGGCGTACGCGCGTTAATTAAATTTTTTCAAGCAAAAACTTGATAATTACAACTAAGACTCCGATGCTCGACTGTTTGTACAAAGTGTGTTAAGCACGTTACGTTCAAACTCGTGTGTCAGTGTAGTCGTGAGAAACATGCCATTAAATTGATTATACTTTTGCCACGGAGAGTGTGTATCCTTTTGTAACGACAAGGCATTTACATTTTTCCTACCACTACAAATGAATAATATTAAACACTTGTTTGACAATGAATTTGAAAAATGTCAGTGTCAATTAATGTCACGGAGTCTGTTTGTTGATTGTGATCCTCGAACGGCGAATAAACAGCTTCGAAGCCAACATGATCACTTTCGACACTCTTTCACACCGATAACTTTGAAAAACTCCCAAAAATAGTATCTCGCTGATGCATGTACACAATTATGTATGAGCGCTCGGCATCTGTTTTCTACGTTATCTACGCCAATTTCCAGTCCCTCCTCCTCTGAACGCTACGTCGGTGCACCTTATCGATAAACCCACGTCTGCGCAAAAGAAAACGATGAGCCGCTCTTTGGCCGGGTTCAAATTTACCGGGAGCTGGTAAGTCGAGAGTCGAGCGATTGATCGCGGCTACGGCTGAATTTAGAGAGCCCCGGACTGGGCCGATTTTCGGGCTGTACGCGGGTGTATTTTTGGACCTCGGGTCTAGGTCGGCGCGTGGGAACCGGAGCTTTTACGCGGAGTTCGCGGCCCTCGCGAAAACGGGCTGTGTTCACATAAAAACTGAATAATAAATTTCGTTATGGTTAAAAAAATATATTATATATATAACGCGATGATTAAACTTACCTGATCAATTTTTTGGGCCAATGAAGGAAGTAGCCATATTTCTCCGCAAAGACCTTGCCCTTGAAATGAGGATTCCAGATGTAAATGGCACTAGACGTTTGTCATCATAAGGGGCCTTTTCTCACCAATGGACCAACCGTACTTCTCTGTCGATCCAGTTTTATCTTTCCGATTGATGAATCGCGCGGCTCCTCTCACACCTTAAAAACAAATTGGAGACACATGAAAACTAGAGCAAACTCAAAGCACCTTTCACGTATACATCACATCTATGTATACCTGCAATAACATCCTCGGAAGCGCCATCAAAGTTTACGACCCAAAAAAAGCCAACATCCTCTAATCTCCTACCTATGGGGCCCAATAAAGACACTCGGATCTAGGTCAATATCCTCCCGAGAGCACGAAAAATTTGTTTTTTCTCTTCCACTCCACAAACGTAACACCTGAATGCAAGCAAAACTCTCTACTACGGAACTTATCAAACGTGCGCGCGCGCTCGTAAACCGCAAAACTAACCATAAGAGTCGCGGTGACACAAACATCGGCAAAAAATCGGCTAACCTACATCATACCTACACGGTGCGTACGGGTAAACATTCACGCGGTAAAAAGTCGGGAGATGCAAGATACGAAAAGATAAGCTAGAGGAAACTAGGGTACTTACGTGCGTCTCTCAATCGGCACTTTGGCTGCACGAGACGCCACGCCGGGATGACGACCGTGAGACTATGTATGCTTCTCTCTTTCCCTCGGGAGAGTGTAACGATATACTTACTAACGCGTCTTGTTATTGCACGTTTTCTTTTACGACGCGCATATACGAAGCGTCAAGTGCTTATAGCAAGCGAATAAGCATCGGAAAGAGTCGAGGGTCGGCCATTCGAAGAGATACCTTGTTGCACAGAGTTGGACGTATTGGGCACGTGTTTGTGCATGACGAATAAACAAACCCATCTCACTGGCACCCTGTAAAATATTATGCCCAACGAGTTTTGGCTAAACATTTTTAATGAAACGGACTCTGAAGAGAAAAAAAAGAAAAAAAAAAAAAAAAGAGTTGGGAAGAAAACTTGTCGTGATTAACCGCGTCAAAGCCACTTTCGAAAGAGCAAACAAAAAGCATCTTGATTTAAATGTAAATATAGTAAAATGTAAATAATCTGTGGATTTGATAACAAGTCGGTTCAGCTTTGAGTTTTTCATTCATGGATAAAACATTTCAATAAACTTGAACAGCAATTAAAGTTTTATGTAACAATAGTTATCTGGAATGGCACTTGTGTAGTTTTTGCACGAACTTAAACGATTGATACTTTTAACTTCATTCTTCACAGTATGCGTGATATACAGGTGAGTTATTGTAATCTCATTANAAAAAAAAAAAAAAGAGTTGGGAAAGAAAAAGAAAGAGACATTCATGGGTCCATCCGAACAGGATCTGTCTTTAATCTGTAACGAGACCTGCTCGATCGATCCTTAACCACATGGTGTTTATTTCTTTTTTCAAGCTCACACACGTGCACACTTTGCCTCTCTAATCGAAAAAAGTCCACGTGCTTTTATTTTGATGCGTTAATTTTACGCCACGGAACGACTGCGAGCGCATTAATAACCGCGTGAAATATGGATCATCGCGCTCTCGCTTGGAAAAATACAAAATGAAATTGCGTTTGAGGAGGGGAGGGGGGAAAGCGCCGAATCATCCTGCACACCTATACCTATTGTCGAGACGACGAAACGCATATTTACACGGGAGATCGATTGGTCCACCTTGACGCGCAACACGTGCAGGTGTATATATATCACGATGTTAATTAATATCACACGCGAGGAAGACGCAATCGACCCGGATAAGAGAGAACATGTGGGTTTTTTGTCTCCCAACATTCCTCGCGAGCACGCGCGTGATGGTCTAAAACGAGCGAAAGGATCCCGCATCATCTCGCGGAGTTTAATTATAAAGTGAGCGCGCGCGCGAGAGAGAGCTTGCGCGGAATGTGGGCTGTGCCTTTTAATGAGGTGTGCGTAAGTGCTGGCGATGCATGATTTGGATTTTACTCTAATGTTTGCTGTTATCTTCCGATTTGTCGTGACATTACGTTATACTCGTGGAGGAAGTGAATTCTGTTTGAGGAGCTGTTCTACAAAGTATATACCCGATTTCATTAGTGACAAAATACAATATTGTTTAAAGATGTCTTTCGAACGAAAAGCAATGAATAAGCCATACCCGATTACAATTGCACCCATATCAGAGAATCGGAGAACGACGGGTCGTTTGTGCGATTCACAGCTACGATGAGGTTGTGCAGGCATGTACCGTAATGAAAAACAGACGGATCGGCGAGCAAAAGCAGCGTTGATGGCACACTAGCGAGTCAGCCGCGCCGGTGGTAAAAAATGGCCATTTGCTATAACTATACGTGCGATACGAGCGCACAAATTTCGAGGGCAGAAAACGAAAGGTGCGAGTGAACATATACTTACATAGGTACGTGCTGTACATGCGTTAATCCTATGGTTTGACGGGCGAGTTGTTTTTTTCTCATCGTTGAATCTGCATGCGCACTTGGCTTTTGCACGTAATGTGCCGGAAGTGCGAGGATGGAAGTTGTATAGGCAATGATGGTAAGTTTATGAAAAACCACTACCGAATTCATACAAAATGATGTCGAATCTTTGTATATTTTATTGCCCTCCCTTGTAAATTCCCATCAAATGAAACAACAGGGTGATTGGCCCACTTTTACAGTGACTGCGTGAAAAAGATGCATTACGATCTTTTACTCATTGCCAATCATGATGGTATACTTATTGAGATCGCACATTTGACATTCATCCGAGGAATAATCACAACTCACTCGTTTAGTTTTGTGAAGAAGAAATAAAAACGTATTCGTACACGTAATAAACGTCACGCACGTCATAATTACCGTAACATGTAATCAATCCACGCATAAATTAGCATACAAGTCAACTTCCACTTTTCAGAGCCACAGCTGGTGGCTTCAAACGCACAAAATGCAAAGACAACGAAAATCTCGTCAGGAAATTCCACATGTACCCGCAAGCAATATCTATACACAGGAGGTATAAAAGTACAATTATTGGCACAAGTGTATAGATTATGGGTACAGTTGCGCGCAACGGAAGAGATGGAGAAACAAAACGATTACCTGGGTGACACGATGATCCTATTAATCTAGAGGTACATGTGTGCCGTCGAAGATACTAAGAAGAAGAAGAAGAAGAAGAAGGTATGCATGGAAGTGCGCAAAACCGGATCGGCGGCGCCTGTCTCCGTTGGCTGATTATATTCCACCTTTCCGTCTTTTTTTTTTTTTTTTTTTTCAACTCGTCCTAAAGTATAAGTACATACTACATACACGATGGGTACATAATGTGTACACGCAATGTAGGTCAGGCCTTTTGCAATATCCACGCTGGTGACTTGTCCTGAGCGATTCATGGGACTTCTTTTTGTTCAAGCGAGCTATAGCCTGTGTAATGAGATTATGATATTGGATATCTTGTTGCGAGTAACTCTGACGCCTGCTATTTTGTTGTTTTTTTTTTTAGAATTTTGGCTACTTAGAACAGCTATTTTATTTCAATCTTGTGTAATAGCAAGAAAGTTTCAAGATATAAAATAAATACGAACACTAAAAACTCGAGAGATAAGAGGCATGTACTATTCTGACAACTCATGATAAATGACCGTTTGGTTTTACTATCCTTGGGTTTTGTATACTCATTTTATTTTATTACCTTTTTTTTTTATTCACTTATTCAATGTAAATCCATAACAGTAGAAGAGTTAAAGCGAAACAAAATAAAAGTTCAATTTAAAGCAATGCAAGATTCAAACTCTTTGAGGTTAATTATTCAAAATTTTATCACTAATAATCATTCTGTTACAAAATTGTAGAGGTTTCTCTTGATCTGCATCATCAATAAAAAAAGTAAATTAAGCTAACTGAGAATTGGCTATACACATATTTACCTTATCAACTTTGTACGGACTTGATAAAAAAGCTTTCTTAGTAATTAATTCACTTTTGAGGATTCTTAAATTTTAAATCTGACCTTGAGAAAGGATAAATGGTATTTTTTTGAATACATAACGTGACGTGTACGAAGAGACAGTTTTTGTAATTGCACAATATAGTACAGATCACATAAAATGCATTCAATTGACATCTCTAATCAGCAATCAGCTCCAACATGTATGATACATGCACTTGTACCTATTGTGCATGAAAATTTTATAGCCTTTATGGCGATGAAAACAGTTGTCCCACTTTTGTTGTTTTAAATCAGCTGTCAAACACCCAAGTACTTTATCTAGGGTACGGTATGACGGACTGTAAAATGTAAATATTTACAACTAGACCCACCATGTATTATGTCTACACTTTATTTAGGGTTATGTAAATAGTTTGTTTGTTTATGAAAGTTTTTATTTTCTTACGTGCTTTTCGTAAGAGTATAAATAAGTAATATTTACCCCAAGGTCCGAGAATGTTGCTATATGAGAGATGTATGACACAGCAATGGCAACAACCTCTTATACCGTCCTACGGCGATGCGACGCTGCGTTGCTCCGGGGACCCGGTCAACTCATGCCGCCAACCGCTGCAGCCAATGTTTGCGGACAAGGCAACCTAATCACCTGCTAGGATACCGGGTACAAAAGCTCCTACGGTGCCGGGCATAAGAGGAGTAAGTATAGGTACACATAGTTGTAGAAAATTTTTCGCTCTACTTAGATGCTGCATTTTTATTTTCATTTTGTTTTACCATTGACGAGATGAACGTGAATTCCTTTTTTTTAACGACGCTAGTTTACGGTCCTAAAAATTTTGTGATATAAGTACAGCATATCAAAAAAGCCTCTGTGAGATGAAAATTTTTAATTCCAGAGTAATTTGACTGGCCTACATTCGAATCCATCTTATCCGTCATACAATAGGCAGTCAGCGCCATCTAGCGGCAACAATTTTCTCGACTTTTTTGCGAAAAGTTAGTGGGTGTGGATATAGGCCAGGCAAATTACGCCTGAATTAAAAAGTATCGTCTCACAAAGGCTTTTTTGATAATATATTGTAAATCATACTCAAGTAATACTGTGCGCAAATTAACAGAACCGTAACCCATCAGCGTTGTTGAAAACAAGGAACCGTAAGGTTCATTTCACGCTTATCGCGTCAATCAATGAAAATAAAAATTTCAACGTGTAAAGCGATAACTTTTCTACCGATTAGACCTTTTATGTGTACTTATGGATGCACTCAAGATTCCGAGATAAATATACGAGTATTGGCGTCGTCTGCTACGAGAGTGAGCGAGACGCAGAGAGCATACAGATTTACAGACAAGCTGCAGCTGTGCAGCAGACCAGCAACAATTTCCCCTTGGCTATAGGGATAGAACCCATGTCGTCACTTTTGTACGACACTCTTGTCCCCAACTCATGATCTCAGTACTAATTGTATTTTCCTGAGGCTAATTAATTCAGTTTATTTATCGAACATGGTTCAGGAGGATAAACTCGAAGGTAATATCCAGTGTATACTACTCAAAAACAGATCTGTGCTTGTCATGTATGCGTTGAAAAACAAAATATATTCAAAAACTTGGTAACTTCGTTCTCCCTCATTTGCATACAGGAACGAAACCTGACAGTTCTGCTGCCACTGTTGTCAAGGTATCGTTCGAAAGACAGCTCGACAAGTTTTTGGCCAAAATCGTGTTGACGGATGAAGAGATCAGAACGCGTTACGAGCCCATTTGTTTCAAGATTGACGAGATTTTCCGGCCGATCTTCCCGAAATGCACGACGCGGCGTTTCGGCTCAACGGCCTGTGGTTTGGGTTTGAAAGACTCGGATCTGGATATTTTCTTCAATCCAGGTGAATTGGCTTTTGCTGTACACTCCAAGTTTCTTTTTTGTCCTTGTTACGGTAAATTTGTAATTGGTATTTACAGTTATCCGGTAAAATATACTATATCAAAAGTTTTGTGTACCATGATTTGCTTGCGAAAGTGAAACGAGTGCGGCCGTGTTTTCAGCAAGTGAAGGTTAGTATTAAGTGCCCTTGTAAGAGAGAGGGGGTTAACAAGGGCCACACTAGGACGCCCAATCATCCGGTTATCTCGGTGTGAGCCAAAAGGACATTTATTATTTACTCTAATGTTAGAAAGGGGTACTTAATAAAAATATTTTGGTACTTGCTTATTATTTACGACTTCCCAAGACCTCGGGTACGTGTAATCCTCAATAGTATAAGTGTTTAGATAATATTCTGTAGACAACTTGTTAATGTTAAGGAGATGACATTTCATGCTTTCCCTCTCGCACTTGAACGTATAATTATGGATACTGTGATTAAACTGCCAGTGATACTACTCGATTACACTCTTTAAATATTAGGGGCCTACTAAAAAACTAAAGTTCTGTTTTGTTTTGACAGCTCGTGCAGTAAAATGTTTGTTTTGAATTTTAGGTATACCAGTGACGTTCGACGACAGCATCACTGGACCACACGTGATAGCCTTTGAAAAGTTATTTGCCGTCATAGAGAAAACATTGCGCTCCCATTCCAAATTGTTTGCCCGTATAATCACGATTCCGATGGCAAGGGTACCAATTATTAAGTTCATTTACAAGCCGACAAAGGTAAACTGCGATCTCTCGTTCAAAACTTGCTTGGGGGTGTACAACAGTCAAGTGATAAGGACGTACCTGTCCAGTGATCCCAACTTTTTACCAGCAATGTTGATTATCAAACAGTGGATCAAACGATGCGACTTGAAAGTTCCAATTTCAAAGTACACTGCAGCTGTGTTATTTATATTTTACTTGCAACAATTAGAACTGGTGCCAGCAGTGAGCGAACTGAACAAAAATTTCAATGCTCCATTTAGGATTCAAGGCTGGGAAATTCATCATAACGCTGGAGGGTCAGATTTTCAAGCAAAATTTAGCGACATGAGTATTCCTGATTTGCTACTTGGATTTTTTAAATTTTATTCCAACTATGACTTCTATAGTAGCATTATTAGCGTTAACAGCGGCAAATCGTACAATAGAGCGTTATTGATGAATAAAAGTGAAATTTTACTAAACGCTTTGATAGTTCAAAAAGATGATAGTACAAATAATACAAAAGGGGGTATTCATTTGCCTTATTGGATTACACCAATGTGTGTCCAAGATCCAATTGAGTTAAATTCTAATATAGCCAAAAACATTAAAAATGTTCACTTGGAGGCTTTCCAAGTATATTGTTCTGCCACAGTAAGCATTATTGAAAAATCATCGAGTAACAAGTACCTTGATTTACTTGATAATATATTTAACTTTAGTCGAATAAAAAAGCCAAAACTAAAAATTGAAGATAAGCCAGAAACGTTTTTCTTTGACATTCCTATGAAAGTTGTGAGTCACGAGAATGTTACAGATAGGAATAACGTAAACAAATGGTTTGATGACATATTTAATCTGACCAAGTGTTTTTTGGAGCAAGTTTTATGTTTAAAAGTAGAAGTTGTGAGTAATGTGGAAAAATCAAAAAAATGTGGTTTAAATGTACTAGTTGATACATTACATAATTCAAAAGAAAACATTACAATTTTAAATTGTAAGGGATCGCACCAGCTGTGGTTAAGACAAAAAGATATTTGCAATGGTCTTAACAATCGCAATCCTCTTGAAAAAGACATTATAATTTCAAAAGCAATGCTTGAAAAACCAGATTTTCTTAATTTAAAAACAGTTGTAGATTTTACCATAGAATTTATAAGATTAACGGATAAAAATCCATTACAAGTTTGTTTTAAAATATTTAATCGTGGCTGTAAAAAAAAAGAGTTCAATGCACTTCTACAATGCCTAAAATTGAAAATGACGTCTGATATAAAGAAAGTTTTTAATTTGAAACAACAGTCCCTGAGATTCAGTAAGAAAAAAAAGGTGGTTAAAAAAGCCAGTACAATCTTAAAGTAACGTTTTTTATAAGTTTTTTATTTATTTATTGGAATAGTGCTGTGACATTACTAATGTTTTTGATACCGGAAACAGTTTCATTGCCAAAAGTTTTGAATATGTTTATTTAGTCACTTGTAGATCTTATGTATTTTAAAATGTTTTCAACCTGTGTCCATTACTGGTGGCGTTATAAAAATGATGTAGAATCTCTGATGGTAATTTTATCATTTGTTTGTGTCTTTTTTTATTTAGTTTTATTATTATTTGTTACAAAAAAAGGTAATTCGACTTTGTAGACTTATAAGGCCAAATATATTGATAAAAGAGTAGATGGTTTTGTAACGATATTTTGAAATACGTGGGTATCATTGGAATTTTACGTTAATACGTGATCTTTTAGAAAAAAATGATTATTGAAGTAAAAAGTTTGTATCCAATGCTCACACATGCGAAAAAAATTTTTTTTTATTTCTCAATCGAATGTGTACAAAAAGCTTTTGTAAATAATAAAATCATAAAAAAAGTGTATCAGACTCTCAATCACTCACACAATTTCAAATAAAGTGTTTCCCTATTGACTTTAAACGCGAAAGAACGTACATGCATGAAAATTACATAAAAGTTGTCTTTAACTTGTTTATCACTCATTGATCGATGCAAGTCACCAAGAGGATTACGCCACGCAATTCTTTTGCTCAAAGTCGTCTCGTTTCACTTGATATAAGCTACCGAAAATCCCCAAGCCCCAAAAAAAATGATCAAAATAACGAAACATTGTAAAACTTAAACGCCCTGGCATATCCCACCCTCGGCGTACTTGGCGAAGACTTTGATGGCCTCGAAGACCTCCCGGCCAACGGGGACGATCTCACTGACTGGTGCGAAAAATCCGTACTTTTCGCTCGGCAGTTCGATCGTGTAGGTCAAGTCCACCCCTCCGACCGCCAGGGCCCAGTCCTTGCTACCACCGTGAACTGGATCTACAATATTTATTTTTCTTTCTCAGACTCAATTGTTTCACGACAACGTCGATCATCGACTTACACAGAAGGTTGTAGGAGCTGCCTACTTGATAGCGCTCCCCCCGAACCTTGGACAGTTCTGCCTCGGCCTTTCTCGCAACGCACTCCTGAAACCAATAAACCAATCGTTACGGAAAATAACGAGACTTTAGGAGACGGGCAATACTTATTTACGAGCTTAGGAGCGTTTTCGGGCAGCTCTGGCTTGTCACCCCACGAATGCAGGATGTACTGAAAATTCCAAAGGTCAAGGTATGAAAATGTTGATTCACGTAGTAAAAAAAGTACACGATTAATTTAAATTTCAACGCTTACCTTCCCGTAGGAGTGGAGGCTGACGTAGACCTTCAAGGAACCCACTTCGGACTCGACAAAGTGCTTCAACGCTTGGCTCTCGCGCTCCGAGAACGGCCCGGGCCCACTGTAATCCGAGTCGCAAGACCGATTCCCCGAACCTTTGGGGACAGAAGGAGGCAATTTCGTTCAATCGACACAAATTAGTCACCACAAGTATACACCGTGAACTCATACTCCTCCACTTGTAGTCAAAGTTCCGGTTGACGTCGGTCCCGAAGCAGCCCACCCCGTCAGCCGACGGCGACCGGTTCTTCTTCCACATGCGATCCTATGTATCCACGATAAACGCCAAAAGTAAGGGGATGTAAAAAAAAAACAGCGAGGATGAATTGCCTCACCACTTGGTGGGTGTGGACGTAGCCATCCGGGTTGATCGATGGGAGGACGTAGATGTCGACGTTGTCGAAGACGTGGCTGTTGCTCGCGTTCTCGGCCAGTTGGCGGATGGTGTAGAGGGCGGTGGCGGGGCCGAGCCACTCGCGCGCGTGGATCCCGGCGTCGACGAGGATGGCGGGCCTGGGGCCGGGTCTGGCGTCGGAGCTCGTGATCTTTACGCCCAGGATGTCCCGGTCCTCGTGGCTCGTGCCAATGTTTATCAGCTTGGCCACGTGGCCGTGCGTCAGAGCGAGGGTCTCGAGGTACGACGTGATCTGCGGGTGGAGAAGACGACCGATTGATAAGACCTCGAGGATTGAAGTTTTTTTCTTTGCTCTATCTCTTACCCGGTCCCAGGGGGGGAAAGAGCTCAGGAGGTCGCTCGAGTGGAGTTGAGACTGTTGCTTCTGTTCCCGGGTTATTGTGCCCACGTCGTCGATGAAAACGTCGTAGCCGATTCCCTTGGTGGCGAGGGCTCGCTTGAACTGCTCGAGCTGATTGGCCGCCACGAAAACGTGGATGGGGTATGTCGGGTCTCGCTCGATTGCCGCCAAATCGAAGCCTGGCGTGTTTCGGAACTTCCGCACAAAGTCTAGCTGATCCCTGGTGTGGCAGGCTACCCGCAGACCTTGCATTCTTTCGCGTTGGGAACATTTTTGGATTTAGTGTAAGTTTTTTCAATCCCAAGAGACGCCCAACCACGTGGGATGGGGTGGTAGAGAGGCGCGCCTTGTTACCCGGAGGTATGGCCTCTTCTACCTTGTCGGGGCTCGTTTGAAATGAATAAAATATTATATGATTACTACTGTCGAGTAAATAAGGTTTGCAGACGTACCCATCGATCGAACTCTGGGGTGGATATCCGCTGGCGAGTGCAGAAACCGCGAGGACGGCAAAAGTAACCACGGCTGTCCTCATGCTGCGACTGATTTTGAGATCAACACGAAACTTGTCACTTTGGCACCAGAATTTCAACAGCTTTATACGAGCAAATGCCGCTAATCATTTGATGTATATATTTTGCATAATCATTTTTTTTTATTTTTACACTATAAGAGATAAGCTGAATTGATAACTGGGTGATAGATGGGGTACTATTTTTTTGCTTGACTGTGGCCGATCTGTTTTTTTTTTTTTTTACTATTCAATCTGTTCTGTTCCTTTATATTTAGGCACCGATATGTCGTATCAAAATTTTTTTTTTTTTTTTTTTTTTATCATTCTCTCTAGCGCGAGGGTAAGTGCAGATTGGTGGGGGATTAGTTCGATAGTGTAATAAAAGTAAAACTGTAGTTAACAATACAATAAATTATTAAAAAGAAAGGTATATTATTTGTTGGTAAGAGGGGTATTATTAGTGATGTGCCGTCCAATACAGATATAAAATTTATATGGCATCGGACAACAAATACTTTTACTTATTTTCATCTCAAAAGCTCAGCTCTGAGGTCTGAACAAGAGTAAAAAAAAAAAAAACCCAATTGATAGGAAATTTTTCTTCCCACACGTGCTGGTACTTTTATTTCCATCCAGTCCAATTTTACTATTGTTAACTATTGTTCTCATGACCCACGAAATGGATCGCGTAACCCATAAATTTTGCGATTCAGCTCACGAGCCACGTATATTGTGTACCAGCCGTTCAATCGCAGGTATTATTTTTCAAACAAAACGAAGGGTACACCTCATACATCTCAATTGCGGAGCGGCGAGTTGATAATCATTTTGTCCCCCCACCCATCATCGACCGGCCGATTTTTTATCAAAGCCGCAGGTCTCCAAGAGCGGCGATCCATCGATCTTTCGACATCTCAACTCAAGTACCGAATCGAAAGAGCATTAAAAAAAAAGACCGCCTGTATATATGACGAATAAGTACACGCTTTTGTTTTAACGGAGACTTGCTGCCTTTTTTTTTTTTCTTTCTTCGATTACCCTTTCGCATTGAAGAGAGTATCCATCATAGCGCGCATTGTCTCTCCGGTAATTACAGGGTCGATGCCATAAGTATATGCCTCGATTAAATTTCTAGGATATGTGTGCGCGCACAAAGAGTCCATTTTTCGCCGCGATCGGTATGGGTACAAGTATCACGAAGTTAACGCGACCACTAAAACGAGAGCAGAGAGCGCGTTGTCATCCGCATGTATATTACATATATTACCTACTCTTTGCGAAAAGTGAAAAAATACAAACACGCGCGTCCGTCGCAGGGGGGGGGGGGCACGCGACAGTAATCGGTTGCCCTCCATACGCACTCACGGGCTATAATACTTTTTTTCTTGCAAGGCACGTTATTTCCGTGAGTTTGGCGTGTCATCGCGTGCGGCGTTTAAACAAATCGCGAAACCAGATCACCGCGTTTTCTACCGAGCGATCGAGATAGTATGTACCGGTCGTTTAGCCGTTCTATCGGCGCTCTCGAGATGTTAACTACATTTTTCGCCTAATCATAACACGGTGTTGTTGCGATGGTAATTTTCGGGTGGGTGTACACCTCGATTTTACGGCAAAGTGGGTGAATCGGTAGAGCGAGCGCGGAACTCGGTAATTATCGTGGATGATGGTGGATTTTACCCGCGTTACTTCGGGACGAGCAATAAAAGTCGCTAAGCGGAACGAAAGCGTTCGTCCAACGAGCTACTGTCGTAGTAATTTATTTCAAATTTGGTTTTTCGGGAGGGTTAGCAGAGCGCGAGTTCGGTTTTTGAAAGTCACCGTCGAAGAGGCAACGGGACCCAAACGTCGGTTCCAGGAGGAAATTATTGTCAAACGATGTTCGGTACGCGAGACCTCCTTCGGGTATGTACATATAAAATTTAGATCCAAAGGGGAGATTTATCGCCCACGAGCTCCATTCACGTGTATTCCGCGCGCGTAGCTTTTCATCGGCTTTTTTTTCATTTTTTATTTTTCCAACTCGATCGAGTGTGCATAAACACGCGCAGTACAGCCATTGAATATTTAATATCGCGACGTGTGTGTGTTTCTTGCAATGTTTTTGTAAACCAGAGCGACTGCGCGTTATATGTAAACATAAAAGTGAACTCGCACTTGTACCAAAGCAGCGGTGTATATACCGATCCGACCGGTAATTTTAGGCGCGATTTCTGCTTCTGATATCTGCACGTATACTATGCGCTGCAACTTTGCAAAGCTGCTCGAGAAGAGCCGTGTGATACACATGACTAGGTTTTTTTACTTTTTATTTTCATAAACCTCAATAGCGACGAAAAGGCTTTTCTAACAATTCTCGTACCGATAAATCGGTAATTAATTCGAAGTTATCTCAACAATACACGCGCTAACTATACCTAACGGGCGTAAGTAGATCATCATGGTATGTACAGGACGCGAGAATAATAACCCGTCGATTTCTCAAAAGTACAGTTAGCACCGGTGATTCTTTTGTGTTTTCTAACGATTCACGTAGGTGTGTACACAGGAGCCCCGAAAAAGCGCAAGAACCGGATAAGCCGTGCCGGTCTGATAAAAAAAGGACGTGTTCGAAAAATCTCTGTTTAATTATACCAACGGCATCGAAGGAAACGCGGTAAAGGTCACGTCAGGTGTATATTGGAAGGTCAAGAGCGCGCGATCGAGGAGGAAAGGACCTTCTCTTCGAGGCGGTGCATCGGGATTTCCTCACCCACAAACCTACCTTTTCGCGAGTAGCTCCCTATCGCGCGCGACCCGCTTTTAAACAGCATAAACGAGTCTGCGAAAGTCAAAGGTGAGGCTACCGCTGTGCATCCTACAAGTGTCCAAGTGCGCCCGGAGGCTCTCGGGACTCTGGTAGGATGGATTGACGTGCGGACTTTTATTTTGCAACTCGAGGGGGTGTATTTTTTTTGGCCGATGTAGGCCATAGACTCTTGCTGTTTGCAGTGCCATTTTTTTCTGAGTAGTACACCACTTTCTTGATTTCCGATGATCCTTCGTTTGAAATCACTTAAAAAATCGAAACAGCCCCGGCATTCCCATGCACCATACTTGCACTTCTCGGAGCTTCTTTATTACCCGTCTCGGGAGATTGTCGGATTCACCGCGAAATAATCCATTACCCACAGTCGACCACACGCACGGGACCGCAGAATAGCCCGTACATCGCGATAACACTTGTCCCCGGAGTGGGTAAGCATATGCGCCAAATAGGGATATACACATCGTGGGGCAAACAAAAACAACTTAATTACGTTGGTCAAGTCGAAGCCTTGAAGGATTGCGCAAACAAAAGTGCGAGCCCATGTGCAAGGGTCATTGACGACGGTGGCGAAAGAGAGGCACACATGTATATATACCCACAAGTAAATGCGCGAGCGGGACGCTCCTCGACCCAGATCGTCGTCATTTCGCGCTCGGCATTCCTGCACCGAAGCCGGTCTTTCTCCCAAGCTGCAACGCGGAGTTGCAGGTAGGTATGTATATATGCATCCGATGGTCGTTCATGCACATGGGACGAGTCTGCAAGGAGAACGCGTGGCTGCGCACTCTATGGGGGACACCGTTCGGTTGATTGCCGATCTTTTGTCGTGTGGTTACGAGTTGCGGGTTCGGTAAGGTTTTTTCTCTCTCTCTCTCTCTTCAATCTCCCTTTTTATACTAAAAAAACAAACAAACAAAAAAACTAGTCACGTAACTGTTGCAGCCGTGGGCTGAAAATCAATTTGAATCCCGTGCCGTGAAACATGAGATTCGCAACGTCGAAAGCACCTCGTCATTCCCACTGTCCCCCCCTATGTCGTACTTATACTGAATTTTGTTAAGTAACATCATAAAGAAAAAAAAAAAAGAAAAAAATAAAAATATTTGACAATCGTAGATGTACATGCATGAAAATAAAAAATAGTTGGAAACAAATATCAGTGACCCACTGCGATCCTGGTGCACTGCAGTACGTGGAGAAGAAAATGCACGTATACGTGTTCATTAATCGCAATGGCCCCGGCGAGCGACAGGAAAACTGACCGCATCCTCGATAAATCAACCAAAAGGATCGCTGAATCGCATCAGAATTCACCAATCCCTCCCATAATCACACATATACGCACGGGGAAAAGCGAGGATCGGAAGGTACACTTGCTTGCCTACATGTATATATATATGCGGCAGCAGTGGGATGCTCACCGGTAGTACATATAGCCCATACATACCCCCACCGACCTACATCAACGCGGCTCTCGTATAAATGGCCTAGGCGACGTCTAAGCCAGCCTCAGTTAAGCCAGTGCGCTCACCTTTATCCCATCTTGGCTATCTCTCTTTCCTCTGCTCTTTTCGCGTTGTTTAGTTTTCTTATTTGTTTGTTTTTCGCAAAAATTGTGTTGGTCCTTTGATGAAAGTGCAACCGATCGGTGTGCTTCAGTTTCAATCGGTATACATACGTAGAGCCGCCATGTGACACAGCAGTGTTGAGAAGACATGTAGTTTTGGAGTAAAAATCGGGAAAAGTGGTATATACCAAGTACGAAATAGAGATAACAAAAAAAAAAAAAAAAAACCAGAAGGGGGACGCAAGTCATTGGTGTCGACGAAGATGAAGGGCAAAGTGCGCGGTGGTGGGATCACAGGAGAAGTTTGCATCTGCGTGTTCCTGTTTTGTTGGCTGAGGATGGCGTGGTGCCAAGTGGCCGATAATGGCACGTCGAAGGCGCCGGACGCCTTTTTGGAGCAGTGCAGGAGGGATTGTGCCATTCAGAGGAACACCGTGGTCTGCGACAAGTACAGGGCAGTCAGGTGGATCAACGACCTTGTGCAGCAGCAGGTGATTGGGTTGCGCCGTTGGCCATTGGTTGGCTGTATGCGGTGATTCTTGTGTTGACTCTTCCTTTGAACATTTTCTCATTGATAATCCCGGTTTTTTAATTCATCTCCTGAATCCAATAAAAAATTACATATATTAATTAATGAATCAATCAACACCGTAATTAAATAAACGAACAAGTTAATTAAATTATATAATTGAACAATGTAAGGATCATTGGAATTGAGCACAGTGGGCAACTTAATTTCACCTTGTGTTTTTCGCTCCATTACATGATTGACAGCGTCGATCGTTTATACGAGAAACCGATCGATTTCTATACCCTATAATAGTAGCTCAGTCGGTTAATTGTCCGACATTTGACGAAACGTCGCGTCAAACGAGACCAGATTCTTAACCGATCTCATCCGGTCGGGCACATTAGTCCGAGCTTTTTTATCGAATAAGATCAAACAACCGGATAAGCCCATAAGAAACTCGTGTTTTCGCACGACAAAGTAAAGTATCAAAGCTGTCGCGGACCTTTTCATCAATGAAAAACTAGTCGACTCACCGATTCGAATAAAAATACGTGTACAGCCACTCTTTTACCTACGGGGAGTAAATAATGAATTAAGCTCAAACGTTTATTTGTGGGAAAATGTTTCAAAATTCAAATCAAAGTATTCATCCCCCAGTCTGTAACTAAACCACAAGCTAAACTTGCACTCCCTGAACTCGCGCTCAAGCGCGTAACCACCGGATGACGAATTCCAGGAGTTCACCTACGGTCCCTTCAAGATCATCAAAATCCCGGCCATGCAGACCGAGCGCTTTCTTCCAGAGCTACCATCGGACCCGAGCAAGAAGCGGAGCGCCGTGGCCAACGCTTTGCACTTTGTTCGCGAGGCCGCCGAGGATCTGATGACCAGACGTGCGCTGGTGTACACGGTCGAGCAGGAATCAGGCGCTCGGGCTCTCAACAGCGGAGCCGGTATACTCATCATGGACGACGAGGAGCTCGGACGAGCCAGACAAGCGAGGACCTTTGATCGTAAGGTTTTTTTTTTTCAGTGTTTTTTTGTTGTTTCGGGCACGGTGCGGTACCGTAACATCACAATCGCGAGCGCGACACTGTTACCGATAACGATTATCGGTGAGCAGAACCCATATGATTGCTTTCGGTGGTCGACAAAATCTCAAAGGGCACGACTAGATTTTCGGCTCTGATAATCAGGGGTACAACTGTGAGCGTGTGCTCGAAACCTCGCAGATAATTGTAAACAAAAAATAAGGTGAAGCTCCCCTACCTCACCTCTTGGCTTTCTGGCCGGTGGCCGATTGTTCTTGTTTACGCAGCCATAGAAAGTAGAAGAGAGCAAAAGCTCTAACTGTATACTCGGTGATTCTCGTTCGTACCGATCGTCGCTAGTTAGTGACGTTTTGTCCTTCTTTTGTGGAAAGGACGATAAAGAGTTGTCGTGCAGGTAAGAAGATCGGGTCTTGATCATCATCCACGCCACGAGAAGTGCGCAATTGGTTGCGTATGTAGGTACAAAGGGGTGGAGGGGGAGCCGGCAGTTATTTGAACCGTGAATGAGATCGTTCTTTTTTCTTTGGGTCGACGAGTAGACGTCAGCGACGGTGATTATGGCTCTTTGTGCGTACGAGCAATGTTAATGGCAGCGTTTTTTTTTCTTTCTTTACTTATGATGGTTATTGGTTACAGGAGAGATCGGTAGATCGATTTTTGACAAGTTGTCTGTGGGAACGAGTTTGACGATGCCGATTTTGTCGGCTTAATTTCTGAGGCGATTGAAGTGGATTGAACGATCGAAAAATCGAATTACCGATCAGACCTGTCCGATTTTTTTTCTTCGATTTATAAACCGATTGTAAAATCACGGTTACGATTCTATGAAACCGATTTTTAATAATAAGAATGCATGAATTAGATTCAAATAAAGTTTAAGATTAAATCGGTATATAAATAGCTAGACTCTAAATAATCGGTTTGTACGTTAATCGATATAGAAATGATCGTATGTGTTGTACTAACGTTCAGTTGTCATTTTCATTCTCTAGTTTCGCCAGCGAACTATCGAATCTTCAAGAAGAAAAAGAACATCATCCTGCCGATCCTTATACTACTGAATCTGATAAAATTGAAGCTGCTGATTTTACCGATCTTCCTTGGTGTGCATTTCATCAAGAAACTCTTGGTTCTGGGATCGCTGTTGTTACCGTCGATACTTGCTCACTTGAAGATCTGCAAAGTAGCTCAACCATCTTACCATCATTACCACCCCTGGGCGGCATCGGCAGAGTATCCCGTGGACTATCCATCTGGTAAAATTTTTTTTTCTTGTTCCGAGTTGGGGTACTATTGTTTATTTGTCTTGATAAATTCCATTTGATTGAATTTATTATTTGAAATGTAAGTATTAAGTCGAAAATTGGTACTGAAAATCGTAATGAACAATTACATTGATTTTTCAGCGTATGGCCACGAAGATGCCTGGGATCACAGGAACGACGTGGCAAGCAACGCATACGGCAATTATTACTCAAACAGTTTCTACAATCCCTTCGCTCATTACTTTCAAAACTACAACAAACAGCAGAGGTGATGAACTTTGAAGAAAGAGTGACAAGTTTACCGACACATACTGTGTGACTCCATAATATAATGTATGTAATTTATAGTGATGCGCATGCCCCCGTATACCATTTTAGTTGGATGTTCAAGTATACATTTGTTTATCCGTTTATCGATACATTAACTCGTTTAACTATCACAATTTTTATGAAAACTCATTTATTGCGTGCATATTGTAAATAAAACATGAAACTGTACACTTTACACGAATGATTGAATGAATGAATTTGCAGGTTTGAGTTTTTTTTTTTTTTATAACTTTTTTGTATTAAAAATAAGTAGGCATTAGTGTTATAAAGTAATAAAATTACTATTTAAACTGTAACTTGACGCGAATACGAGAAACATTGGTACTTAACCCGAATAAAAGTATATATAAGAAGCATATTTTTAACCAACAACATTTATGTTTCATCATTTCTTGTGGTGATTTTTTCTATCTTGAAAATATGAAAATATTCTGGTACGATTGACTGAATTTACATTTGGTGATGCTTTTTCGCGCAACTCAAAAAAGAAATGAGACATCACTAAGTAGACAAGCTAGTTGGAGAGAAAAATGGAGTACACAATTTGCATGTAATTTCGCGAGCGTAACAACAGTGAATTATGTGGCGCAGTCGTTGTTTTGATTGTAAATTACACGAAGAATGCGAAATTTCAAGGCGCATAGCATGACGCAAAATTTTTTACCCAGAATTCAGAGTCAGATTCTTGGTTCTCTTCAAAACGATGTAGATATTCTCAACCAGCAGGTGTTGTTTGAGAAAAGTGCAACTTATCATTATACATTACATTATATTTGTAAAGTTCTTTGCAACGTTACATTAAAAAAAAAAAATAATGTTTTTCATTCGTACAAATGAATCTGTTTTAATAATGTTCAGCTACTTGGTTGAGCTTGTCTTTTAATATAATCATTCCACATTTATTATAAGATTTAGACGAATTATTGATTCAACGAAAATTGCGTATGGATCGTGACAGTGCAGTAACATATTTTTACTTTTTATGAAATTTTTTGTTATGACCAAATTAAATAAAAATTAATTTAAATAAATACAATTGTAATGTTGATCAAACAAAAGGGTTTCACAGAACTTTCCATCAACCATTTTTACAATTCGAAAAATCAATATGTTCAGATTCGCTTTCGATTGTAGAAGTATTGATCGATTTGGTTATTTTCAATGCAAAAATCGGTTGCCTCGATCGATCGTCCTCTCTTTCACCGTGAAAACCAGGCACCGCAGACTCCACCGAATAAAATTCCCATACAGATAAACATACGTGCACAAACTTACGTGTGCTCTTGAGATTCTACGGTCAAGGTCGCCACACACTCTGAGTCCCAGAGCAACCGGTGCATTGGCCCCCGGCACGACTGACCTACTAAGCGACGAAGAGGAGCGATGACGATTTTTCGTGCTCCGCTACCGATCCCCGCCTCTTCGCGGACACGCGCGCGCGCGTCATTTTTGGTTCCCTCAGCGACTCGAGAGAAAGACACGACTTTCTGTTCTCGCGTCCTTTCAATGAATGGTAGTCTGGCTCATTTTGCGCATTTCGATTTCAAAATGAGGATGCACAAGGGGAGCGTATATATACCATCATTCATCAACTACCGCTCCAGGATCTCCTTTCTCGCTGGAGATAAATTTATTAGCCACTGGCTTGGAGTGATGGACGTTTGTGTACTATGTACTCACCAGCAGATTTGCATGGCTTAGTTTGTCGAACGTGGACCTCTTGACCTACTTATTACGAATGAACTTTGACTCTTCAGAGAGAAATTCATCATCAAAGTGTAAAAAAAAAATTCTTTTCTGGATTTTCCACAAAATTATTGTATTGATGGGTGAAAAATTAAAAAAATGTATTAGGATAGCTCTTAATAAAACTAAAGTATAAACTTGTACAATTCATTGTCAACGTGGTAGATACGCTATATTATATTCTTAGAAAAAAAACAGTTAAGGAAAAAAAAAGAGACAAATTACACGTGTCTTGAGTTCGATTTTACCGCACAACACTGTTTATATTCATACAAATTATACATGCCAGTATATAATATTCTTTCGATCCTAACTGGCCATTAGATTCGAGGAATTTAGTTAAATTTAGTGTTCATATTCATACTTCGTTTCGATAACCGTACATGTGCTCAAAGTGCAGTTTATCGATAAAAATTTTGGTGTACCTAACAAAAATCAACAGCCACTTCTGTGGTTTCTTTGATTTTTAACTTTGTCAACGAGTTTTATTAATGTCAGTTTAGCAAAAAAAAAAAATACCAGTTTGATTAACCATCTTAAGCACATCCATCCATCAGCCAAGTCGTAAAACTCTCGCTGACCTAAAAACTCGTAACGTGCAAGAAAACAAAAACAAAATGACTCAAAAAATCATTCAAAAATTATCTTTGTAAAACCCACCTACTTCCCGGAACTCTCCCTCGATCGGCACCAACCAACCATCCAACCGACCCTCGCGCTCACCGGTGCGTAAAGAAAAAAAAAAACCAAGTAATATCACCTCCTCGAAATTTAATTTTCACCAAAACAACCGTTACCCTCGAAATCCACTCGCCAATGTCTCCTTGTACACTTCCCCACAATGGGCGTGCCAATTAAACGTCAAACTCGCGGCACAAATAAAAAAAAGCAACAATAGGGGGTTGGGTGGACACACACACACACATACAGTAATCAGTCGCGACCGTTACGCGTGTGTGAGCGCAGCTCGAAAAAAAAAAAAAAAAAACCAGATGCATTAATATAACGTTTTTGCAGTTTAATGACAGACAAAATTGTGGGAGCTTTCTACCAAAGCACAGAGAGAAAAAGTATCACGCGATGCTTTAAAGGATGGACGACAGTTTGGAGTAACTGACGTAAGTGCATCAGCATAATGAAAACTAATGTCGGTTGTAAAACGCGTTTAATGATGTTTACAGCCCACGTGGCTTTTAAATAAAGTTATCTCGGTGTCCATTCGAGCTTTGAAAAATTGAATTTTAGACATCGACTTTCTTGCTCGTATGTGTTACGAGCCACCGTGTTTTCGTCATTTCAATGATGTATACTGATGTAGCTCATTGTCGGGGTTTCGTGCCATTATGTATCTGGAGTGTACGTCGGGCTCTATGTATATTAATGTTTTTGAAAACAGCGTAAGTGGCACGGGGAGACGGTGAAACGACAATTACAGACGGCGGGGCATCGGCCTGGAATATTTATCAGCTATCGATCTATTATGGAGGTCGATAGATTTTTAATACCGCCTATTGAATGCTTTTGTTGGATCGAGCGTCCGTTTGTTTGTCTGTTTGTTTAGTAATATTGTTTTTTTTTTTTCTAAATAGGTGTGGTAGCAGCAAGTGATCGAAATTAACACGAGTCACGATTCTGTGGGGCTATGTATACGTTAAACTAATAGCCCAGCTTTTAAGTTTGGTATGTATGATTTTATCCACACGATTTCTCGGTTATTATTTTAATTTTTAGCAATTAAATGAGTGATAATAGACTCATGTTTGCTTATTCTTTCGGGTCTACATCGAGATGCGTCCTTCTATGATACAATTGTATATTTTAGAATATAATAAGAATGAAATAAAAAACTGGCAACATGCTTGAATTTTTAACAATGTTTCGACCATTTGTAGCATATGGACCACCAAAATTTTAGTTTTTAACATAGCATGAGTTTCAGGATTTCCTCTTGGTTACATTCACATGTATGAAATTTGCAAGTTTTGATAATAAGCATACTTTTTTCCCAAATAAATAATTCAGTTGACACACATTTCTAATTCTCATCATGTACACCCAATATGTTTTTAGAAACAAAAATCGACCAGGTATTGTTATGAAAAAAAAGTATACACAAAAGAAGGGCTGTCCTGCTTCCTTACTGTAAAACCAACAAGTATTATCAGAGCATGTTCCAAATAGTCGGCATTCCTGTCTCCCTCCAACAAAATCCAGACCACCTACTCTTCACTCCCCACGTATACTCACATCCATCTCCTCGAGAACAATGAGACAGAGCTCTCTGCGCGTATTTTTTGCACCATCTATCCCAAAAGAAAAAAAAAAAAACAACTTCAACTGTCTCGTTTTCACGCTCCCTGGACCTACCTCTGCCGCTATAGACATGCGGGCTCCGTCCAAGCTGCTCTCGTTACATTTTTACCTCTTGGCGAGCGTGTTTACGTACGTGCGTTCCTTTCCAATTAGCTACGGAATTTTCCAGGCTTACCGATCGATGGGATCACTCGTCGTGCGGGATCTTTCGGAGTGCGTCGTTTCAATAGGTGTATCTTATTTCGGGTTAACTTTTCAGCTTTTGCGGTCAAATTTTTTTTTCTTCTTCTTTTTTTTTTTTTTTTTTCGAATCTCTGAAATATCTCAGTCAACACGAAGATTCTCGGAAACAATAGAAAAAAATATACATACTAATAAGGCTAATAAAAGGAACGATTAAGTACTAGCAAAAGGTAATCATTCACATTTTTTTTCTAAAAAAAAAAAAAAATAAATAAATAATAATTTTCACACTCTTCTGTCTGATTAGTGCAGATCATATAATTTGGTATACCCGCGAGTGATTAATCACCCATCATGAACGAAATTAGACTTCGCACTAATGACCGATCACTTATCCTGTCAGTATTAATGCATAATTCATCCATCACTCACCCACTGGTAACAAAAAAGTGCAAAAAAAAAAAAAAAAAGGAAAAAACATTAAAAACCAGAAAAGAAAGCTTTTAATCCACACCACTACAGCGTCATTTGATTGTCTTGGGGCCTGGAACATCACATCGGCGTCATCGGCGAGAGAGAGAGAGAGAGATGAGACCTCAACTCGCGCGAATCTAATGGGTCGTGGTCTAGTTTACGGAAAGATTATCCTCTTTGTTTTCTACACTCACGCGGCGCACAAAAATACAAGAAAAAACCCCAG